GCGTTAGGGGTCCGAGCAATAAGAAAACAAGCTCCAGCATCCTGGCTCTGTTCCTCGCGTGGACTCACGTCTTGGAGGCAAGTCTTGCGTCGCCATGAGGCCCCCCTTTGCTGCGGCATCAAAACGGGCGCCATGTCGCGACTCGCCCCCGTCCGTGGCCGATCTCGAACCTCCTGGGCCTACAGAGGGCAAGCGTCGGTGCCCAATTGCCCCGAAAAGCCGGCGCCGTGTCCGCCCGTGACTTGACGGACCTTTCTGGAGCCGGCTGATCAGGCATAAGTGTCGAGCCGCTTTCAAAGCGTTCAGCTTTCTTTGTAACACCGCCTTCGCGTTCAGCAGGGCCGTGCTTGCCCCTGTTCTCGCCATTGTTCTTCTCGCCCCAGAACGCAGGGCATTCTTCCGGGCCCACCTCTTGGTCTGGGCGCAACTACTTCTGTGGGGGGCATTTTCCTGAGCCTCTTGGGCGCATTCGCCGGGTGGCTCGGCAGGTGAAGCAGGCGCAGCGCGTCGCGCGCTCTGCCCCCCCCCCCCCCCCCCTTCGCCCGTCTTCTCGTCCGCTGCCTGGGTCGATGCTGCTGGGGGCGCAGAAGCCTCGACCTCGGAACTGCCGAGGACCTGACGTGTCGCGTTCAGCCCGCGATGGCGGGTAATACTGGGAGCGCTGTCGTCGCTGCCGTCAGCAGGGCGCCCCTCCGGATGTCCGCGGCGCAAGTGCGCGTTGTGGACCTTGAGGATAAGATCGTCACCGAGCTCATCCCAAGCTTCCTATGCGCCATGCGCTTCAGCGTCGGTCAGTGAGCGCTGCGTGATCTTCGATGGATGCGGCCGCCCCTCCGCCTACGCCATCGCAACGATCGGGGAGCCAAGGCGCCTCGCCAAGATGAGGGCTGCGAGATGGGCGGTGAATCGGGCAATTGCCGCGGTGCTGACTGTGAGCCGGGCGCGCCTGCAAGCATTTCATAACATCACGCTTGCGCCCTCGCTTTTCGCCGCTGCCCCTGCCGCGACGTTCCGACGCGTCGACGCCCCTTTCGTCGCAGATGACGCTATGCTGAAAAGACGACCAATGGCGAACATGTGCCACTGCGTAGCCCCGCCCGAAAAAAATAACTCACAGCGGCTTCGGCGATCTCCGCGCGCGGGCCCTGGTCGTCGCGAGAGAAGGAGGCGTTCCCCTCGCCTAAGGAGGCGCGCCCCATTTCCAGCCTGCGTCGCCGGAGCTCGCGCCGCGCACTGGCTCGGCCCCTGTTCAAGGAGGGGCTGGCGCCGCGAGAATGGCTGCGGCAGCGGCCTGGACCGCCCGCGTCCGGGCTATATTCGCCAGCTTTACCTGGAGCGCCTGCTGCGCCGCGGGCCGCTGAGCCGCGGCCGCGGCGACTGCCCCCTCTGTCGCCCTAGTGGGGGCCACCCGAGCCGATTGAGATCTTCCCATATTTACCCCGCATGATAAATGCATCGGCGCGGGTCTGTCCCCATCCCACTGCCGCCCGCTCCTCCCTCGTGAGTCCGAACGCCGTCGGGGCCGGGGGCGGGTGGAGTTGCGTCTGCTCGCGTCCAAGCCGCTCCATTATTTCAGAGTCGGTGGCGGGCATGACCTCCGCGTCGGACACGCGATCGCATTCGCCATCGTTGTCGTCGGAATCTTCCAGCGCGCGCGTCCGTGCCAGCGCTTGCCGACCCAGTCCTCGATGGGGGCGTCGAAGAGCCCCTCGATCGCGTCGCGGAGGCACTCGGCATAGCGCTCCACCAACATGGCAGCGCCGGCAAAGTTAGCAATAAACAAAACCACGCAGAACTGCTTTGAGAATGAAAAAGATGGTCGATTCCGAGAAATCGACGCACACCACAATGCCCGCTTCGGACTGCTCTGCGCCAAGAACTGCGGATCCGCCCCAGATTCCCGCCCCCCTTGGAGCATTGTGCTTGGAAGTGCTTGTCTGCTTGTCGCTCCCGCCGGAGTTGCGCGTCGCCCTTGCCCCATCCTTACCCATTTGATTAAGCCTGCGCCCTCGCGCCCATGCCAGTTGCATGCCTGCGGCGCCTGCCTAGGAATCGGCCCCCCAAATCGTAGTCGGCCAATCGCGCCAGGGGCGCGGCCATGCCTTTGCCGTGCAATCCGCGGGCGCGTCTGCCATCTCCGCCGAGACGTTTTTTTTTCTCTCTGCGAGAGAAGACGCGACGCGCGGCTCGCCTGAACCTTCTAACTGTTTTTTTGTATTTTCCCATGTGTCGCCTCCACCTCCTTCGGGCGCGATGATAACCTTGGTAAGAGTATGGTGTAGCTGCGTCGCCACTGGCGGGCAGGTCTGACCCGTCGAGATGTTCGGCGCCGGTAGAGGAGGCCGCGTCGGCATCCGCGCCGCAATCGAATGCGTCGTCGCCCCGTTGGTTGGGCGAGCCCCCGGGTAGTTGCCCCAGGTGCGCGCAGCGGGCAACTGACGGCCAGCCCATGTTTGAGCCAGACGCCTGTTCGCCGTAGTCGTGGGCGTCTTGGCACAAGAGCGTCGTGGACTCAGTGGGCCCGCCGCCATTCCAGATGCTGTTCGGCATGGCTGCCGGTGTGTCGCTTAATTCGGCGTGGTCAGTGCCAGCGTTGCGTCCGCTGAAGATGCTCCCGCTGTTCCCTGGAGAACGCGCGGCCAAGTGTCCATGGCTGCGCATTCGCTCCTGGAATTGGTCGCACTGTTGTTGAGTACGGGGCATCTGAAATTCAGCGGTCGCAGTATTTGGGCTGCTCGGGAAGTACCCACCCCCAAGGCAAACAATAAGATCAGAGTACAGACCTAGAAGTTGGGTGTGCTGAAGCCTGCTGAGTGTGCTTCCGGTCTGGCCATCTCGTATCGGGCCAGTACTGAATCGATATGCTCGCCTCTCTCGGCTTTGAAGTCGATGAGGGCTGTCCCTGAAGTGAACTCTCCCTCTTCCTCCAGGTTTTCAGATTCGGTGTTTTGTAGGTACATGATGTATGTGACGCCATCGGTGCGGCTCCCCTGCAATGTGACACCGTAGATGTTGATGGTGGACGGCACCCTCATCGCTAGAGGCCGAGCCAATCCCTTCAGGCTGCGCTGTAAAGCGGTCGCCTGCTGGGGTGGAATCATACTTCCCATCGCGACATTAAACCATACGTGTGCTTCTCGAACGCAATCGCGGCAACAGATGCGTTACCTGCGGGGTCCAAGAAAGGACACAGGAGTGCGTGTTTCCACCGGCCCTCCTCCCCGCACGTATGCAACGGCAAGGCATCGGTACGCACCCAGATAGTTGCAAATATCGCGACCATGATGGTGCGCGGTCATGTTGTAGATGATGATGTTCGGTTACGTATAATTGGGTATGGTCGCGTCCATAAGATTGCGACTGGGTGTCTGGGTTGACGTGGCCGTCAGCTTCCGGATAGGTATCGGTGCTTGGGTCGTGCGCGGTGGGTAGGCACGCTGTGGGCAGATTGAGGTGTAGAACCTGAGAGCCGGCGCAGTCGGGTACTCCACTGTGCCGTGGTAAGTTGATTTGTCCTAGACACCTGATGTAAGAACCAACCGCGTGAAGATGTAGCCAGCTCCGCTACGGAGTAACAATAATAAGGGTACAGGGTTTGACCATGAGGTGACAAGCTGAACGCCCTACTCTTGGGATAATGTCGGCGACGTATCGAGGCATTCCACAACTCATCCCTTGATGGCAAGCAAGACGAGAGGTAAGAGAGAAACGGATCATGTAGACGTGGCCGATGTCCGATACGATGATCCGCAGATAGAGGCGTACAGGGTCGTACACTTAACCAATAAGACTGCGCAGTCTTGAGCCAAGACAGCGTCGGATATAGCGTTCGCTATACTGCCTCTCATGAAACTTCGTTTCAAGTCCAGGGGGGTGGTCTCGCGGGGGGGAGTAGGGGGCGGTCCCGAGAGGGGGTCCCGGGTCAGAATACCATCCCCCCCAGACGGTCCCGGAGCCCCGAAAACGGCCAAAACGAACCAAGAGAGCCCCGAATCGCCGAACGATCGGTCCAAGACGCTCAAGATAGGCCTCCTGACAATCCAAAAGGCCTTCAAGCCAAGGGGCCTGTAAGCGCACTCCCACGAGAGCTCGACGAGGCAAATTTCATTTACTTCTTTTGGTTTTAATGTTTGCATTCTCGTCTCTTCGGCTTCCCGGCGCTCCGAAACGGCCCAAGAGGCACCCAAGATCGGTCCAAAATTGCCCGCCCCACTGAGGTCTTCGAGAACCTCCGCAGAGAGCCCAAGAAGCATCCTTGGCGACCGTGACCCACGTCAGCGTCGTCGTCATCGTCGACGCCGCCGCAGCCGTCGTCTCCCTTCAGGGTCGCCGGCGCCGGCCGCAAGGCCTTCGCATATATATATATATATATATATATATATACAGATATACATATATATATATATATATATATATATACATACATACATGTGTATATATATATATACATATTACGATATATACATGTGTGATTCAATGGTATTCGTGTTCCACCCATTTCGGGCTTCCGACAGCCTCAGATGGCCTGGAAAGCCTCTAGTATGTTCCCAAAACCGTCCCAGACGTCCCTAAGTGGGCTCCAGAACGGGCCAAGCGGGCCCTAAGACTGCCCAAGAGACCCCAAAATGGCCCCACGACGGCCCGTGGGCCCAAGAGACCTTCAACACGGCACTCAAGAGTCCCAAGACGGCCTCAAAAGGCCAAGAGGCCCTCCAAGAGGCCCCGTAGGGCCTCAAAAAGCAATCACAGGCCCCCATGAGGCTCCGAGAAAGCCCCTAGGAGGTCCCAAGAAGCCCCCTCATCTTCCTTGTCCCCTTCCTTCTCCTCTGTCTCATCGTCCTCTACCCCTCCCAAGTAATCCCCTAAAAAGGTTCTCCATATCGGCCAGGAGAACACATGGCCCAATAGCTTCGCAAGACTTCAGCCCAAGGTTTGGCCGCACCTGTGCTTCCAAAAGGCAGGGGTCGGCGGTCAGCGGATTCGCCGTAGGCGTCCTCGACAAACATACTAGCGCCAACACTCGTAATGAAAACAATAGTGCCAACACTCAGCGCGAGAAATAAAACCGAGGAGTGCCAACACCGATAATAAACAAGTTGGCGGAAGACCATGAATACTGCGAAGAGCCCACCGAAGGCGGTCACAAAATAGCCGATGCCCAGGACCGGCCACATAGAGCCATTTACCATGCCAATGATGAAAGCGCCAATAGCACACATATCCAAGAGAATACTTGTCACAAACACCACCTTTTAGCGGGGACTGACCGTCCCGGCCCTATAGGCCTACCACGACATGTTTTTAAAACTCCAAAATGTTCTAAGAATAAGAGCAATGCTCTTAGAACAGGAACAGATGTGATAAAACAAAACAGTCTCAGCCAGAAAGTTCTAAGTATATCTCGTGGAGACCAACAGCGATTATTAGAACATCGATTGGTAGGCCTATAGGCACGCCAGGACGCTTCGCCACTGCTTGACACCTGTCCACAACCATCCCACACACATACAATGCAGAGCCATTTCTCTGGGGCCACTGCATACGTGATAAGCTGGGGCCATTCAGACCGTGCAGGACTGAACAGCAGATACCCCGGGCAGACTGCCAGGCCTACGACCGTCAGCACGAAATCCACTGCCGCGCTGTGCAGCGCCTGGTGTCTGGCGCCTCGATTTCAAACCAGTTTTCGTCGCTCTTGCGCTAAGTCGGGCCTGTCCTCCTACAGGGGATTTTGTACGAACAATTGAAAACAAACAAATGTGGAAAACAACCCAAGCCGGTGAACAAGTACTTAAAAATTCGTCCCCTATTCTTGAACCATTTTTGAGTATTCCTCCTGTAGAGGGACAGGCTCGACTTAATTCTTGCGAAAGGAGAACTGAGGCCTCCCGACGCATCGAGCCCGTCGGCTTCCTGGAGCCAGCTCTTTTTCTCGTTCGCGATGACGCCCGTGCCTAGCCCCGCCCTCCCCCCCCCCGCTACTGAAGGGGCCCACAGACCGACAAATAAACACGCTCAAATGACAGGATTCCCCATTTGTTGCCATATTTCTCGGGTTTTGTCTTCCCCCCCCACTTCCCATATTTTCCCATATTTTCTGGGGAATCGACAATTAATTGTGTCTGTGTGTCGTTCCCCTCCTGAGCTACATACCCCCCGTTCACACCACGATTCGCACTGGCGCCTACGGGGAAGGAGCCATCCTGCGGCATCTCCAGGAACGGCGCCGGCAAAAATCGTGACGTGACTGCCTGGCCCCCAGGCCTCCCCATTCGGGTCGGGCGAAAGGCGGGGATAGCAAAGAGGGGGGTTTGAGAACCAGCTCGCGTAGCTGATTTTCCACGCGCCTCCCGGCGCCGGAGGCGGCTTTGGTATCGAGGAATGGGCCCCTCGGTGAGGCCGAAACCAGCTGCATGCAGCAAATTTCGTATCCCCCCTTTTCCCAATCCCCCCCTTTCGTCCGGCCCGACCCATGCCCCCCCTCCCTCCCTGGGCCACGCCCCATTAAATCGCCAGGGAATAAACAAAGTTGTCTCCTGCTCAGGCCCCCGCTCGCTGTCAGCCTGCCGCGAGACAAGCGCGCCCAACAGCAAATCGGACCCACTCCTTAAGCCTCTGGGGGGGGTGTCTCTGGCCTCTGGTTAGCCCCGCAGGCCTCAAGTGAAGGGGCCCTGGAACACACAAATAGATAGACACAAATAACAATATTCCCAATATTTTCCCATATTGTCTGGGTTTTCGTCCTCCCCCCCACTTCTCATATTTTCCCATATTTTCCCGGGAGTCGACGATTGAGTGTGTGTGTGTGTGTGTTTCCCCCTCCTGATCAAGAGGCTCCGAAAACAATAGCAGAACAAGAACACAACCATACCCTCGATGCCATTGCTACATTCGTCCCCATGGTGGATGCGCGCGGGAGCGCAACTGGATAGATGCCTTCCCGGATGGCGACGCAGAAGCCCAGCCCGAACTGCCATTTGCCGATGACGTCGTAGAACGCCCAAAGTGCCAGCCAGTAAAAGAAGGCCTGCAACCAGTGCAACAAAATCAATCGCACAACGCACAGAACCATGGCCAAACCCTTGCGCCGGAAGCCCAGTCTGAGGCGCATTTGATCCCACGTCAAGTCATGGTACTCCTCGTCTCTGATTTTTCGTTCTTCGGGCTGCAGCACGGTCTCGAGGACCTGACCCCGATCCGCTGTATCCTGAAACTCGTCCCGATAATTAACCGACCCCTGTGGGGTTCCTCGGCGTCAAGTGTACGGCCAGACGTACGACTGAAGAGCACCCTTCAGTAACTTGAGAACCTCTCTTCCCCAGGATGCAAGAAAGTCCAACAAACACGACGGGCACTGAGGTAGCCTCCCCGAGCCGATCTCGATCGCATTCCTCGGTCCGGCCGTATTCTTCCCTCCCAAGGACCCTCCCCCGAGAGCCTGGGCCGACCTCCTCCTCCTCCTCCACCTCCTCCTCCATCTTTTCGGGGGCGCGATCCATGGATTTGGCGCGCGGTCGCCAAATCCACGGATAGAGGGAAATGCCCGCCCCAAAATGCGGCCGGTGCCGCCACGTTCGGCGGCGGAAATCTGCGAATTCCAATGGAAACGGAACCTGTCGCTAATCCACGCCCCCTTTGTTTGCTATCGCCTGATCTCTATCACCCTCTTCCTCCTCCCCCCTCCTCCTCCCCCTCCTCCCCCTCCTCCCCCACCACCCCGGGGCCACAGTGTCCCCGAGGCCCTAGAGCGTCCCAGGACCCCTGCGGCATGCTGCGCGCCCACTGGGTGCTCGGAGGGGGAGGGGGGCGCCCTGGACCCGGCGGACCCCGCAGAACTCCCAGGACGGCCCCCTTGCAAAGCCCCCAGGCGGCCGTTGGACGGGCCGACATGGGCGCTGGACTGCTCCAGATGGTTTCTATTGGCCCACGCTTGCTCACAGGCGGCCCCAGATGGCCTCAAGAGGGCCCAACAGACATGGGAAATGACAGTGTTTTCCCCTCCGGGGTAACGGTCGTCGCCGGGGGGAGGGGAGGGTTCGGGCGGGGTGATAACCGTAACGGCAGCCGCGGCGTGCACCCGCCAGACTGTGTCCGCGCCACCATCGCATCAATCGCCCGTGTGCACCACAGTGCCTGCGTACACGACAATGCCCAATGCCTGCGTGCAACACACCGCCGCCTGTATACACCGCTGTGCCTCCGTACACCACAACAGCTGCGTGCACCGCAGAACCACGTCGCCTATGTACACCGCAGTGTCTGTGTAAGCTGCAGCATGCGTGTGCGCAACAGCGCCTGCGTACACCTTGCTGCCTGCGTGCACCAGAGCGCTTTTGTACACCATAGCGCCTGTGCACACTACAGCAACCATTCGTACCGCAGCGCCTACGCACGCCACAATTCCTCCGTGCACCACAACGCCTGGGTAAACCAGAACGTCAAACGTGCCAACGAGCACATTAGCAGCTTGCGAGGCCTCCTTGCGGGGCTCGCAACAGACCACGGAAGCCTTCAGGACTCGTCATTCATCTCCTCCTCCTCCTCCACCTCCTCCTCTCCCTCTTCCTGCACCTCCTCCTCCCTGTCCTCTTCCTCTCTTCTTGCAACGACCCTGGCGGCCTTCGTTGAGGGAGGGGAATGCAGAGCGGGGGGAGGAGCAGCAGGAGGAACAAGAGGAGCAGCAACAGGAGGAACAGCACGAGCCTCATGGATCGTTCAATATTGAACGATCTCTGCTCCTGGAGGGCCCTGCAAGTCCTCGACCCCATCTTCGATATCGACTTCGCGCCGTGGGCTCGTTTCCGGGTACTGGGGCCCGAACCGGGCCCCTGCGTCATGTTCAACCTTGAACGCCCGCCCAGCCGAAAGCCGCTCGACATCGGTCCCCCGAACCGCCGCCCTCCGAGCAAAGCACCTCGGCATTGAGTCCGCCTGACCTATGCGCACCGCGATCGCCTGCAAGCGCCACAACACGCACAACGCGCATGTGAGTACCAAAACGTGCCTTTTGGCACCACGCCATGCCTGTGAGCTCGGCGCCGCAACAGGTGAGGAGCCTGCGAGCGCCACAACACGCTTATAAGCATCAAAGCATGCCTTCCAGCACCACGCCATGCCTGTGAGCAAAGTCCGCCCCCTAGCATGTAGGGGGCTCCAGGCCTCCCCCCCAGCACGATCGCTAGCATTATTACCCGGGGGGGGGCGGGCAACGAGCGGTACGCTGGGGAGGAAAACAATTAGCCTAACGAAAGACCCACCCATATGCAATTGCCAAAACCGCACTGTGGGTTCCGCTACCGGTGGAGCTCCTCATGGGACCACGACCTGTGAGAGGGGCGTGCCGAATTGGGTGCGGTGGTGCCATGCGAACCCTCCCACTGGAGGCTTCGGTGGAGTATCCTCTGGGGCCACGAGACGTGTGAGGAGGTGTACCGAATTGAGTGCGGTGGTGCCATGCGAACCCTCCCACTGGAGCCTTCGGCGGAACTCCCTATGGGGTTCGCCGAGATGACGGTAGAACTGCATGCGAACCCTGCCATTGGGGCCTTCGGTGGAGCCCCCTATGGGGCCACGAACCGTGTGAGGGGTGCGCCGAGATGAGGGTGGAACTGAACTGCATGCGAACCCTGCCAATGAGACATCCAGTGGAGCTCCCTGTGGGGCCACGAACCATGTGAGAGGTGCGCCGAAATGAAGGTGTGCAACTGCATGCGAACCCTGCCGCTGGGGCCTTCGGTGGATGTCCCCATGGGGCCACGAACCGTGTGTGGGGTGCGCCGACATGAAGATGGAACTGCATGCGAACCCTGCCTCTGGGGCCTTCGATGGAGCTCCCTGTGGGGCCAAGAACCGTGTGAGGGGTGCGCCGAGATGAGGGTGGAACTGCATGCGAACCCTGCCACTGAGGCATTCGGTGGAGGCTCCTATGGGGCCACGGACCGTGTGAGGGGTGCGCCAAAATGAAGGTGGAACTGCATGCGAACCCTGCCTCTGGAGCCTTCGGTGGATGCCCCCATGGGGCCACGAAACTGCCCCCATGGATGCGAAGCATGAACCGAGATGACGGTGGAACTGCATGCGAACCGTGTCAGTGGGGCCTTCGGTGGAACTCCCTATGGGGGGTGCGCCGAGATGAGGGTGGAACTGCATGCGAACCCTGCAGCTGGGGCCTTCGATGGAGCTCCCTGTGGGGCCAAGAACCGTGTGAGGGGTGCGCCGAGATGAGGGTGGAACTGCATGCGGACCCTGCCTCTGGGGCCTTCGATGGAGCTCCCTATGGGGCCACGAACCGAGTGAGGGGTGCGCTGGAACGAAGGTGGAACTCCATGCGAACCCTGCAAATGAGACATCCGGTGGAGCTCCCTATGGGGCCACGAACCGTGTGAGGGGTGGGAGGGGGCAGCGGGAGAAGGTGACGCGGGGCGCTGCCTCTTCAAACGAGGACCCAACACCACAGGATGGCTGGACAAAAACGCAAAACGAGTGTTCCTGCATCCGATTTGCTGCCACCCGCTGGGGATTCGAAAGCGTCGGAGAGCTGGGCTCCGTTGCCATTGCGGCTCGAGCCGGAGCTTTTTTGGGGCTCGACCACGGCGGCAGATCCGAGCGAGCCGCCGCGGCTCCCCCCGCCTGGCAGGCCCGCAGGGAGCCTCAGGCGTATCACCGAAGGCTGCTCGATGGCTAAACGCAGTATTTCAGTATGGGTTGATGGGCCGGTTTTCAACCACCACCAGCATACGTTGGAGAAGGAGGGGGTCGTCCTCCACCTCCTCCTCCTCCTCCTCCTCCTTCTCCTCTTCCTCCTTCTCTTCGTCCTCCTCCTCCTCGTCCTTCTCCTCCTTCCCCCCTCCAACTTATGGTGGTGGTGGAGGTGAAAACAGGCCCATCATACGTCGCAAAGTGGGCATCGAAAGATGAACTCTCCCTGGCCTGAGGAGGCCCCCTAAGAGCGCCCGAGAGGGCTCCCGGAGCACCACCACGCGCAGCGTCCACGGCGGCCTACGAGGCATCCAACCCTCAAGGCCGCCAAGAGAGCTTCAAACCGCCAAAGAGGGCCCCAAGGCGGCCCCAGAGACCTCAAACACAGCCCGGAGGCGTCCCAAGACGGCCTCCAAAGGCCAAGAAGCCCTCCGAGAGGCCCCCACAGTGCCCCCAGCCAGCAATAGGCCCCCAGGAGCAGTCGCAGGCCCCCGAGGAGCAGCCGCACAGGCCCCCGCGACGCAGGGCCCAAGACGGGGGAAACAGCGGAGGGACACCGAAGTAGCAGGCGGAGCGGCTGTGCCCTCTGCGCCGCTGGCCCCAGGGGTGAGGGGTAACGACAGGGGAGGAGGAGGAGGAGGAGGAGGAGGAGGGGGAGGAGGAGGAGGAGGAGGAGGAGGAGGAGGAGGAGGAGGAGGAGGACATCGCCGACAGATCGGCCATGGGCTTTCGGTAAGGAAGCCGCGCGGGGGTGGGCCATCAGGCCACCCACGGCGACGAGAGTGGGCGGTCGAAGGTCGGCGCTCCCACCAATGCGCCTCCCCCCCCTCAAACGTTGCCCCTGGAGGCGGTGCGGCGCAGCCCCGTGCATCAGCTCGGCAAGCCTGCCTGAAGCCCCACGCGATGGCACAGAGCACTCCCGCGCGCAGGAGCCAGGGAGCGGCGGCCACAGGGAGGCCCGCGCCGAGGAGGTGGCGGGCATGGGCGCGCGTCCACATGGGCCGACGGCGGTGGCGGCGCGCACATGGAGGCAGGGCCTGGGGAGGTGGGAAGGCTTCTTACGAGGAGGCTGCTCCTCCGAAGGCGCCGGCCTTGCATCTGCAGGCAAGGCCCGCGCCTGCTGGAAAGCAGGGGTGATCCGGAGAAGCCCCTCCCCCTCCCCCCACGCCCTGCGCGCGTGGCCGATGATCCTCAAGACGTGTGTTAGCGCCAGCGCGTGCTTCGTCGACCACGGCCCATCCACACGACGCTGGCGGTGTGGCTCGTGAGGGCCGGCGCAGGCCGCATGCCATCGGCAGAGCCGAGCGTGACCCGCATCGGTCGGAAGGGGTGGGTAGAACTCTGAAGTCGGAAGGCGTTGCAAGCAGTCTCCGCCCGCCGCCCGACCCCTGAAGACGTCGGCGTGCGTGAGGGGTTTCCTCCTCGTCTTCGTCGCCGTCTCTGTCTTCGGCGTCTCCTCCTTGTCTCCGTCAATCGTCGCATCCGCGGTCCCCCGTCTCTTTTCTCCAGGCCTTCCTCCTTCAGCGCGCCAGCCAAAACGAAATTGAGCAACGCCGCAATTGACTCGGAGGGAAGCCCCTCCCCTTTGATCCCTTCTCCGCAAGGGGGGGGTCCCAGATGGGTCCCGGGGGGGGTCGCCACCCAGATACGCAGTCCCCCCGGGCGGTGCCTGGGCCTACGAAAACCCCAAGACGCGGCCAGAGCGCCCCAACAGCCTCCCAACTAGGTTTAAGAGGACCCCGAATCCGAAGACACTCGGTCTAAGACGCCAAAGCAGCCTCCACACGGCCCAAGACGTTTCCAAGACGCTCCAGGAGACCTTCCAGAGCGCTCTCATGCGAGCCTGAAGAGGTAAACATTGCTGATGTGTCTTAATTCGGTGTTTGATGCTCTTGGCGTTCTCGCCTCCTCGGCTTCCCCACTTGCCACATTGCCCCAGAGGGGTTCCATATCGCCACAAGATACCCCAACAGGTCTCCAGTAGACCCCCGCAACGATCCCAGAGAGCCCCAGGACCGCCCAAGAGGCCTTCAAGACGGTCCCAGATGCCTCCAAGACTGCCCAGACCGAATACCCGACGAGCCTTCGGCGTCCAAGGCTCCCAAGACGCCCCCGAAATGCCCCTTAAAGACCCCCAAAAAGCATCTGGACTCCCAAAGGCTCCCGGGAGCCTCCGCACAGGCCCTAAAGGCGTCCCAAGAGGCCTGTAGACTCTAACCTACTCCACAGAGGCCGCAATGAAGCATTCCTGAGCGCTCTGACCCACGTCCACATCGTCGTCGTCGTCGTCGTCGTCGTCGTCGTGCTCCTCTTCCACACTACCATCAAGCCCAACCCCCCTCCCTCATCTTCCTCCTCCTCCTTCTCCACCTCCCCCTGCACTACCCCCCAGTGCTCAGCCCCTCCCACCCCCTTCGACCTCTGCCTCCCCCTCCGCATGCTCCTCCACGTCCTCGTGACCCTCCTCCTCCTCCTCCTCCTCCTCCTCCTCCTCCTCCTCCTCCTCTTTGTTCACCTCCTCCTTTTCCTCGGCGTCCTTCCTCCTCCTCCTTCTCATGCGGTTTCTCCCGCTCGTCATCCTCGTGCTCCTTCTCCTCCTCTTATCTCCTCCCGCTGCCCTTCTCCCCCCCCTCCTCCTGCTCCTGCTCCGCCTCCTCCTCTTTTTCCTCCTCTTTCTCCTCCTCCTCCCTTCATCATCATCCTCGTCGTCGACGTCGTCGTATTCAGGGTCGGCGGCACCGGCCGAAAGGCCTTCTCAATCTGAAGTGCGACGGTGTTGCAACCAGATTGGATATCCGCCGCCGCCGCCGCCCGCCCCCTGAAGACGACGGGATAGGGGAAATAGGAAGGCACCGAACACTACAGTCAGCTAGGAACAGGCGATAAGGATGCAAAAGCCTTGGAGGGCCATGGCGACCTTTGCGACTGGGGCGCGGCCAGCGAACATGGACAAGGATGGACCGAAGGGGAAGGCTGCAAGGGTAACCTTTGGAAACTGGCTCATCCTTTTTCTGCGGGTTGACTGCATCAAGGCGCTCAGAGTAGATTGGACTCTGGGAATCCAAGAACACCTCTAAGCCCTTCCAACGGCTGGTGGGTGAACGCGCAGCAGGCCACGGCTGGTTCGCGTCGCGAAATCGCGGGCGTTGGATTCTGAAGCCGACTGGATCGCTCAACCTTGAACGAGCGCGGCTCTCCGATAGCGCAGATCGCTCGATGACGGCCGATTCTGGGCCACTGGCGGCGTCTAACGTTGAACGCCCGCGCTGGGGTCGCCGCCGCGTCAACGCTGCGGAAGCCTGCTGAAACACACGTCCTGAGGGTCATCGCCCGGCGCGGCTCCAGCGCGCCGCGGGCGAAGATAGGCCAACAGTTAAGTCGGGCCTGTCCCTCTACAGGAGGAGTACTCCAAGATTGCAAAAAAAAGAATCGGGGAACGATTTGTGTTTTTGGTGGGTACTTTTTGACCATTTGGGGGTACTTTTCGACCATCTTTACCTTCTCGCCCAGAATCCCCCTGTAGGGGGGGATTCTGGGTATCTTAACTTTATTCACGATCTTTAACTTAAGTTTCAACTTCTCTTTCACTTTTCGACTATCTTTCACTTCTCGCCGACCCCAAACTCCCCCTGCAGGGGGACAGAGCCGACCTGAGCCAATAGCCTTCGGCCCGGAGGTGGCGGGCCGCCGCGCGCACGCCAGGCGGCCACGGGCGGCCTCGCGATCCCCGGGGGGCCCCCGCGCCTGCCCCCTCGGCCCCGCCGCCCCCGCATCGGCTGCACACGCAGCCCTTCGGACCTCCGCGCGGGCTTCCCGTTCGGACGCCCGAAATTCGGGGATGGACAGCCCCCCCTTGCGACCGACAGCCTCTCGCCGTCGCCATCGGCCTCCAAGGAGGCCCTCGCCGGGCTGCGGGGCCGTCGACAAAAACGACTCGGGACGAGAGGCCGGCCCCGGGGAAGGGCTCCAGACCTCTGGGGGTCGACGCTGTGAAAACATCACGACATGCGCCAGGGAAACTCGGGGATTGACAGCCCCCCCTCGAGTAAAACTTGGTTTAGTAGAAGCGACAGGAGGCCCAAACCTGGCGGGCGCAAGCCTAAAAAATGACGGCCACGGCGCCCTCTCGAGAACCTGAAACGGACAATTCACTAATCGACGTGTCACTGTTGGGGTTTCTGTCCACCCCCGAGGACTGGGTACGGAAAAAATGGGTACAATGCCCGACAACACATGTTGCCCCAAACCAACAGCGGCCGCTGTTGGGCAGGCGGCCTTGTCTTGAGTGGACACGGGCCGCGGCGGCGAGGACAGCGAGTCCTGTCCAGAAGGAACGGGAACTGCTGTTGAGCATTGTACCCATTATTTCCGTGCCCATCTCGTTCGTGCAGATCCCGGATCGATCGCTGGGGCTCCCTGGCGCCGCCCCCGGCGCGCCCCGCGCGACCAAGGTGGGCCCAGAGCCGTGCAGGGACACCCGCGCGGAGCCCCTGGATATATATATATATATATATATATATGTATATGTTTACATGTATATAAACATATACATATATATATATACATACACACTTACATCTATATAGTGAATATTTTATGCACTTGTTGGGCCCGCGGGCGCCAGCGAGCGGGCGTCGGTGGAGCAGGCGGCGGGGGTGCACCGAAGCGAATGGAGCCACGCGAGCGTTGTTCGAGCTGGGGGTGGTCAGCGAAGCTCGCCCAAGGAGGGGCCGAAAGGGCAAGGAAGCACGGGCAACGTCGGACAATGGCTCATGCTTGCTGTGCGTTTCGGCTGCATGTTTAGGCTATTGCTTCTTCTTTTGTTCTTCCTGCGGCCTCGGCCCTTGGTGCGAGATCGGGGCGCTTACTCGAGTGTTGCTAGAAGTGCCTCTGGCCCAAGCTGCCCCCAGGATCTCCAAGGACGCCCCCACGTCTCCTAGAGCACCCCTCACGCGGCCCACAAGGCTCCATGGGTCCCAAAATTAAGCGAACATAAAACGAAGCCAGGACGAAGATAACATCGGGTGATGATAAAATCGAGAATCCCTGAGATCTGGCAGATCTGGAAGATGTCTCTGGCGCGGCGGCCTGCTCAGAGCGCTTCAGAACGCTCAGAAAGCGCTTCATAACGCTCTGGAACGGATTTACCTTCCTCCTAGCTCCGTCCGAGAATGGCGGCACCAAGGCTAGGGTTAGGTCGGGCATGTCCTCCCACAGGGGGATTCTGGGCGACAAATACAAAAGGAGAGTCAAACAACACCCAAATATCCAAGCGATGATCACACATCGCCCCCCGACTACTATTTGACTATGTTTGAATGTTCCTCCTGTGGAGGGACAGGCCCGACTTAAGGCTAGGGGCACCTATGAAGGGGGCCCTGGGACACACAAATAAATACACACAAACAAAAGGATTCCCCATATGTTCCTATATTTTCTGAGTTTCTGCCTTCCCCCCCGCTTCCCGTATTTTCCCATATTTTTGAAGAATCGACGATGAATTGTGTCTGCGTGTTTTTGTTTCCCCTCCTGAACCTATGGCACGCCCGAAAGACTGCCCAGACGCGGCCTCGTCTGCAGCGGCGAAACTCGCGGGTGCCGCGGGCCAGGCGCGCCCAAGCCAAGACGGCTTGTGCCGTGGTTCTCGAGAGCTACCGGGGGGCGGGGGGCGCCTCGGGGGAGAAGGAGGGGGAGGAGGAGGAGGAGGAGGAGGAGGAGGCGGAGGAGGAAGAGGAGGAGGAACGACGCTACGAGCTCCGTTCAAAGTCTGCCGACCCCAAAAAGGAGGAGACTTAGACTTAGCCATCCCTGGGCGAATGCAAGCAGAGTTGTCCGACTGTGAACTTTCTGGGCGGCAAACCTTTGGCTGCAACTTAGTTCACGCTGGCACTGGTGGGAAACTCACACGGGCCCCCCTGCAACCCGAAGGGGGTGAACACGTAGTAGGAGGAGAAGGAGGAGGAGGAGGAGGAAGAGGAGGAGTAGGAGTAGGAGGAGG